AGATCTCAAGTCTTAAGAACAAGTTAGTACAAATGGTGCTGGGAAAACTAAACATCCACATGTTTAAAAAAAAAAAAATCCACATGTAGAAGAATGAAACTACAAATTAGTACAACCATTTTGGAAAGCCTTATGGCGATTCCTTAAAAAACTAGGAATAGAACTACCATATGACCCAACTATCCCACTCCTCAGTATTTACCCAAAAGAACGAAAATGAGCATACTACAATGATAATAGGCACATCAATGTTTACAACAGAGAAATTCACAATAGCTAAGTTATGGAACCAGTTCAGGCACCCATCAACAGATGAATGGATTAAAAAAGTGCTATATATACACAATGAAGTTTTTACTCAGTCATAAAGAAGAATGAAATTATGGCATTTGCTAGTAAATAGATGGAACTGGACAACATCATACTAAATGAAATAAGCTAAGTCAAACTCAAAGTTCAAATGTTTTCTCTCATGTGCAGAATCTAAAGCAAAGTAAGGGGAAGGAAAAGGAGGTGAACCCCTCAAAAGTAGAGGGGAGATCAGTGCAATAGAGAAAGGAGACTGAGAGTGAGGAAGGAGAGATGGGAAAAGGGAGGAAATGTGGAAAGAAAATGATAAAATTATGCTAAGTACAYATATGAATATATCAAAGTGGATTCCAACTTTATGTACATCTATACAGCAGCAATTTTAAAGAATAATAAAAAAAAACAGAAGGCAGACCAACAGAGTAGAGAAGAAGGGGAACAGGGAAAGAGAAGAGGAGAAGAATAYTGAAATGAGGTAATTATATTCCATGTACAATTATGTCACAGTAAATCCCATTATTATATATAATTACAAGGCACTAACAAAAAACCTTTTAAAAAAAAAAGGAACAAGTTAATAAAATGAGTTCAAGAGGCCTAAAGAGGTACCTATTTCCAATTTTTAGGTATGTTTCAAGCAACCAACTTATAAACATAATTTACATATATGTAATTAAACATAATTTACCTATATTGTAAACAGATGTTTGAGGCAGGAGTCAGCAACCTTTTTTGTAAGTACTCAGATGGGAAATATTTTAGGCTTTGAATGCCACATGATATCTGTCACAACCACTAACTTTATTGTAGTAACTAAAGCTGCTCCAGACAAGATGTAAATGAATGAGCATGTGGCCATGTTACAATCAAAACTTAAAAGTAGGCACCAAGAAGGTATAGCTCAGTGGTAGAGAGCTTGCCAAACATATCCATCCCCTGGGTTTGATCCTCAGCACCATAAGGCAAAACAAAACAGCCAAAGCTAGGGTTATAATAGGGGGAAATTGGAAAAGAGCGCCAAGCCACATTAGACCCATGGGCGAAAGTTCGCTGCCCCAATTTAGAGTACTACTACATTTTCCAGCTCTCCCCATCTAGAAGTAGTATAGGTTTTCCTTCTGTATTGCCCAGGGTGGYCCTGTGTTTGATCCTCAGCACCACATAAAAAATAAATAAATAAAATAAAGGTACTGTGTCCATCTACAACTAAAAAAAGTAAATAAATTTAAAAATATATATAAAATCATCACCAATAGAGGGCAGTAGTGAATAAAGAAAATACCGGAACAAAAGGTGATGGATCCTCACACCAAAGATCTTTATTCAGAATTTTAGTAAACTAGAATTAGGCATACCCACAACTTGAAAAGCAAAAGCAAGCCGTGTGCGTGGTACACGCCTGTAATCCCAGGAGCTTGAGAGGCCGAGACACGAGGATCATGAGTCAAAACCAGCTTCAGCAATAGCAAGGCACTAAGCAACTCAGTGAGACCCTGTTTCTAAATAAAATACAAAATAGGGCTTGGGATGTGGCTCAGAAGTTGAGTGCCTGAGTTCAATCCCTGGTACCAAAAATAAATAAATAAATAATAAAAGCAAGAGCAGATAAAAGAGTATAAAAACTTATATAAGTTGAAATTACAAATGTGAAAAAAATCATATAAAATAGCAGTAAATAGCAAGCAAGTACTGTGTTATATAGGATGTCATCTCCCTAAAACACCACTCCCAATTCATTTATTCATTGCTCTTGGAGCTACCCAAAATTGAAAACTAGAGTAAGTGAATCATCTGCTGCACACATCTACAAGAAGATGAAATGTTTGCCCTTTGTGTTTAACTGGGCTGGGGGTTTAGCTCAATGAGGGGAAAAAATGAAGGCTATTAACATTTGTGACACTGAGCCAAGAGAGGCAGTACATGCCTGTAATCCCAGCTACTCTGTAGGCTTAGGCAAGAGACTAGSTCCAGACCAACCTGGGGAGTAGAATGTCCCTGAATTCAATCTGTAGTGGAGGGGATAGAGTGACACTGAATTTCTTGCTGGAGGTTACACATCCCTTCCTTCCTTTCCTCTTACCCCTATCATCTCTCTCCATTTTCAGTTTGTTCACAGACCGTGATTTTCCTGCAGATGACTGAAAGGTATGAATACTGCTGTCACCTATATGTAAAAATGTATACTTTGCAGGGCTGCAGTTGTGGCTCAGTGGTAGAGTGCTTGCCTAGCATGCATGAGGACCAGCACCACATAAAAATAAAGATATTATATCCACCTAAAACTAAAAAATAAACAAAAAAAATGTATACTTTGCTTAAAATCAAGAATAAATGATAGCAAGATTTAAAGGGACAAGCATTGTTTCACTTTTTTTTTTTTTTGCCTCCTCCACTAATACTCCTGATTGGTTACCACATTAGGATGGAATTGAACTAGTCACCACTTCCTGAACATGCTCTACATTTTTCTGTCCCACCTCTATTTTGTTAACCTAGAATGCCCTGTGTAGCTGGCCCCTCATTTCAGTCTTAAAATACTCTTCATTGAGCTGGGGATGTGGCTCAAGTGGTAGCACGCTTGCCTGGCATGCGTGCGGCTCAGGTTCGATGCTCAGCACCACATACAAACAAAGATGTTGTGTCCACCGAAAACTAAAAAATAAATATTAAAAAATTAAAAAAAAAATACTCTTCATTGCCAGGTGTGATGGTGCAAACCTGTAATCCCAGAAAGTGGTAGACTGAGGCAGGAGGATCAAAAGTTCTAGGACAGCTTGAGCAATTCAGTGAGACCCTGTGTTAAAGTTCAAAAAAATAAAAATAAAAAGGATTGGGGATGAAGTTTAAAGGTAGTGTTTGCATAGCATTGTAAGGACCTGCATTCAATCTGAGCACCACCAAAAAAAACCAATTTCACTTTCTTCAAGAGCAACAAAAATGGCATCCCCATGAAGCCTGCCAGAAAGAATATCTCTTTACTGTCCAGTTGCTTAATCACACTTCTTTTTACTAATACTATAGTACTCCTGCATCATGCATATTTGAACATGTTCCCTCTTGAATGACATTCTATCTCTGCTCAAAGCTTTTTGTTTAAAAACATTTACTTTTCATGTTTCCATAAAAATTACACATTTAACGTTACTTCAGTACTACTTATGAGATAAATGAAGATTAAAAGAAGATGTCACCCTGAGCCTGAGGTTTCAGTTTTACGTTAAACAACCAAAGATTTTCTTCCTTGGTTCCTCAGACCAATCAGCTGCACAAAGACCATGTTACCAGGCACAGGCAAATTTTCTGGTGCCTTCTCTCAGTACCAAGAGAGCCATGACAACATTGCAACCCAGAATTGCTCAGCAAACTTAAGTATCCTGGATATTAATCAGCAATGTATTTAAAAGAAAATAAAGGAGGAAATTTTCGGGCAATCGCTTCTCTGAATATCTCACAATTTTTATCTCATAACAAAACCAAGAATCAAAATATGGTCCACCTAAAGAGGAATAGCAGCCCCCAATATATGAAGGTACTAAGACCAACAAAACATGACTATATGCAGTCCCTTATCCTCATCCCCATAAGCACAATAAACACTCAAAACTCAGTATGATGCCAAATTTTCTACAAAGTCTTCTCTGATACTTAAGATTACAAATTAACAGAAATAGAAGGATTGTTAGTGGTTTATGCAATCCCACTACTCCACAGGTCAGGCAGGAGGTTCATGAGTTCTAGGCCCACCTGGCCAACATAACAAGACCTTGTCTTCAAAAAAAAAAAAAAATGAAATGAAATGAGTGTTCACCATGTTTTTGCAAAAAACAAAGGAAGTAACATGTAAAATGCTTAGTGTAGTTCCTAACACATTCAAAATCCACCAAAAAAAAAAAAAAGCATTATTTTTAAGTCTTTTTCAAAAGTACATTTTGGTACTAGATGTATTCCTATGACTAATTTCTTGGTCTAAACCAAAGTTGTCCAATACCACAATAATTAACCACATGCAATTACTGTGCATTTCAAATGTTGTTAGTTAGAATTGATATGTGCTTTAAGTGCAAAATACAAACCGATTTCAAAGACTTAGTGAAAAAAATTACAATTCTTAATATTTTGTATCCTGATTACATATAAAGTGATAATACTTTGAAAACACTGGGCTAAATAAAGCATTAAAATTATTTCACCTACTATGTTTGTTTCACATAATTTTATGGGGCAGGCTGATCCATATTTTGACTTCCAATCGGTAAAAATGCTCTTAACCATACAGTTGACTGCTTAACAGGTGTTCATTCTGGCCAATCCACTCCTTAAATAAGCCAGCAAATAGTGGCTCATTTTAAGGCTCTCAAACTTCCACAACCTAGAAAGCTGGAGATCAACCCAGCGCTCTTAATTTTTAAAAGTCCAGAGCCCATAAACGCCGAGGAAACGCGAAATTGATAACCACCCAAAAAGAGTGACAGTCAGCCTTGGGGACAGTACTTGATCAGAAAGAGGTCACCCTTAGGAAAGAGACGGGATGCAGAATGAGCTCCTCAGATCTGAAGCGGCGCAATGTGAATGGAGCCCACTACATAGAAATCTGAAGAGCAAAGTCTTTTCAGACTTGGGGCTTGGGGCGAATCTAAGGGCTGAAAGGAAGGGGCTGGGCTCTGTGGCAGAGGCTTCAGGAAGAGCAATACCTTAAGAATCCCCCTCATCTTCGCCAAAAAGGGACGGAACTCCTCAGCCGACACCTCCGGATACAGCTGGCTCCTCAGCAGCTCCTCCGTGATGCCCCGGTGCCCGTGGAAAGCGTCCTGGGCCAGGCCACTCAGCAGCCCGCTCAGAGACTTGCAACCCTCAAGCTCGCCCGCCATGGTCTGCAAAAGCCCCGCCCCCCAAACAGCTGAGAGCCGCTCTCTAACGGCGGCCGAGATGAGTCTAAATTGCCCAGGCAAAAGCACGCTGGGAACCTTGAGGCCCTTCTACCAGGGGTCAGTGACCGCAGCTTCCAGCTTTGCTCTGTAAAACCCATCCCCACAGAAGGGCACCCACCGGCATACGCATTCAATTCCATGTAGGCTTCTTTACTCACGCTGATTTCTTTCAGCACTCCAAAACCTATCCAAAGGATGACTGCTTGATGGAAATCCCTTGTTAACCAGTTTAACTTTTTGACTTGCCAGCCGATTAACTGAATGGAATCTACCACTCAGCTGTAATTGCTGCCTAAACCTCACCTATGGAACATTGTTCAATAAAACTATCTCCTGATGACATAATTGGTTTGCTTTCGTTGTTGATTACCTTTAAAAAAATTTTTTCTTGTAGTTGTGTATGGAGAGAATGCTTTTGTTTATTTATATACGGTGCTAAGGATCGAACCCAGTGCCTCACAAATCTAGGCAAGTGCTCTGCCACCGAGCTACAGCACCAGCCCTTGATTGCCTTTTTATAGACATGCATCTTATGTAGCCAGCTAGACAGTGGCTCTGATCCAGTGTTGCCGTCCATAACAAATATTTTGCCAATGCTTTCTTTGCTATCCTGCAATGCATTGACAATTTAACTTCCTCTTCATAAAATTACAAAAATTCCATTTATTCCTCAGGCGTAAAAAAGATAAAATACTGATACATGCTAACATAAATGAACCTTAAAAACACTAAACAAAGGAATCCAAGCAAGGTGCGATGTCACAACTGTAATCCCAGTGACTCAAGCAAGAGGATCGTGAGTTCAAAGTTAGCTCCAGCAATTTAGCAGGAGGCCTTAAGAAACTCAACAAGACCCTGTCTCAAAATTTAAAAAATAGAAAAGGCTGGGGTGTTTAAGCACCCCTGGTTCAATCCTTCGTATGAAAAAAAAAAAAAAATCCAGTATCTGGCTAAATGAAAAAAACCCAGATACTGGATAATCCCTTTGTAGTAAATGTCCAAAATTGGCAAATCCATAGAGACAGTAATAGTTGCCAAAGACTGGGGGAGAGAGGAATGAGAAATATTGGGAAATATGTGAATTGACTCTCCAAAAATTAATGTAATGGAGCTGGAGTTGTAGCTCAGTGGCAGAGCACTTGCCTAGCTAGCACATGTGAGGCATTAGGTTCGACTCTCAGCACCACGTAAAAAATAAATAAATAGGATAAAGTCATGCTGTCCATCTACAACTACAAAAAAAAAAAAGTTTTTTAAATTAATATAACGACCTGGTTATAATTTAGAATTTTAAAAAGGAAATAATTCATATTATATTAATTACAACGTGTGTCTAGAGACAACTACACTAGGTGACTAGAAGACATATAATATGTGCCTGACATTTTTTTCAAATAAATATGAAACAGTGACTTACAAAAGATGTAAATGTGTCTTAAATGAAAAGTTTTTCTATGTGAAAAATCAAAGACTCCTCTCACAGATAACCCATACTGCATTAATGATTTGATAAGAGTGTACTAGCAGCCAGGCGTGGTAATCCTGTAATCCCAGTGCTCAGCATCTAAGGCAAAAGGATCCTGAGTCCAAAGCCAGCCTCAGCAACTTTTGCAAGGATTTAAGCAACTCGGCAAAACTTTGTCTCCAGATAAAATATTTCTTTAAAAGGACTGGAGATGGGCTGGTTTGTGGATCAGCAGTGGAGCTCTCACCTAGTGTGTATGGGGCCCTGGGTTCCATCCTCAGCACCACATATAAATAAATAAAATAAAGGCATTGTCTCCAACTCCACCTAAAAAATGAATATTTAAAAAGGCATTGGGAGAGGGGGGTGGGCTGGAAACACTAGCTCAGTGTTTAAGCGCCCCTGGGTTCAATGCCCAGTACAAAAAAAAAAGTGTACTAGCAATGACTATAGTTTTTTTTTTTTTAATTACATCTGAAAGATCAAATAAATACTGTTGGCTGGGCTTGCTTTGTAGCTCAGTGGTAGAGTGCTTACCTCTCATGCATGAGGCCCTGGGTTTGATCCTCAGCACCACAAAAAAAGTAAATAAAGATATTGTGACCATCTACAACTAGAAAAAGGAATTTAAAAAAAAAAATACTGTTGAGGAGGAGTGTTTTTATCCCAAACTCCAATATTCCCATTGTGTCCTGTCCTGTTCTACTTTGTAGAAATCTTAACACAGATGCCTACTTTGTAGAAATCTTAACAACACAAAGCCTACATCTTCATGTAGAACTACTTGTGATTTCTGCTGATGCAAACTGATAAAGTTGTGCAGTATTGGTGACTCTAAACAGCAATTGCTATTGTTAACAATGATATTCTGAAACAGAGATCGGTAAAGTTTACCAAAAACTAAAGCTTCTCTCACTTAATGTAGTAATTACAAACCTGGAAAACTGGAATGTCCGTATATATTAAAATCAATCTAAAAGTACATTGTTTCTATGTAAAAAGGAGTTCAGTTTAGGCTCAAATCATAACAAACAGTTTTTTTACACGGATGTCCCCCTACATGGCAGGATGTCTCCTCATATCCCTGGCCTCTAGACACAACTATACTAGGTGACTAGAAGATATATAATATAGCCACATGCCTGTGCTACCCCTACTCTTCTATTAATGTAACAATTGAAATGCCCTTTCAAAGCATTGGCAGTCTATTAATAACCACTAATAGAGGGCTGGGGTTGTGGCTCAGTGGTAGAGTGCTTGCCTGGCACATATGAGGCACTCGGTTTGATTTTAGCACCACATAAAAATAAAGATATCTTGTCCATCTACACATAAAAATATTTTTTAAAAAAGAATCACTAGACTGCTTTAATTAAAGTTCATCTGGGTTTTCAAGATAGTAATTTGAAGGCAAGATAGTCTCTTTTTTTTCTTTTATTTTTTAGTTGTAGTTGGACACAATACCTTTATTTTATTTATTTTTATGTGGTGCTGAAGATCAAACCTAGGGCCTTGCATGTGCTAGGCATACACTCTACCACTGAGCCACAACTTTAGCCCAAAGGCAAGATAGTCTTTATATTAAAAAATATCTGATATATTTCTTCCCCTAGAATTAATTTCATTTTTTGCAGTACTGGTGATTGAACTCAGGGGAACTTACCACTGACCTACATCCCTAGGGAAAAAAAAATTTTTAAATTTTGAGACAGGGTCTCACTAAGTTGCTGAGAGGCTATCCTTGAACTCCCAATCCTCCTGCCTCAGTCTGCAGAGTTGCTGGGATTACAGGTGTGCACCACACCTAGCTTTATAGTTARTATGTATCTGTCAGTAACAGAATGGTTTTTATTTTCTTCTTTTTGCTTACCTGATTTTTTTAAATGTCTACAATGTACATGAAATACTGTTGTAATGAGAATATTTAAAAAAAATTTTTTTTGTACCAATACCTAGCTCATTCCAATTACCAGAGAGGTCTAGGACAAGATAGGTTATCCATTCAAGAGAGAATCCTCATTTTGGATGGTTGGTCAAGTGTTGTTTTGTAAAACCTATTTTACTAAACATTAAAGAAATTCTATAAAGCCATTGTTTATTGACAACATTCCTACATTCTCCTATATCTGCATGGATCTGTTAGGAGAGTTTTTTGTTATTGTTTTTTGCAGTGCTGGGGATTGAACCTATGGCCTATGGCATGAACCTATTGAACCTATGGCATGCTGGGTGAGCACTCTCCCACTGAGTTACATCCCCAATCATAAGAGTATTTTTTTAAATGTCTATCCTACAATAGCAACAATGTTTTGTTTATATAAAATATCCTATAAAAGCTTTTAATGTTTGTTGAAATGCTGTTCTAATGGAGAATCCTGTACATAAACACATTAACACAAGCAAAATTTAAGCATTTGTTTATTGTTTAATCCCAGGAACAACAATAAAACCAATGGAAAAAGAGAAAAAAATGCTTATAACTTGAAAGATTTCAGATAATCAAAGCAACTGTCATAACCATGGAGAGTGTCCCAAGAAACCAATAACATCAGCTTTCAAATTTTCCTATCTTCTGAGGCTGACAGGTCTACTTCTTACATTAATGGGACTAGAGTTTAATAAGCCTCTATAGATTATCTAATTCAACCTTCCTATTTTATAGAAGAGGAAAACACGACTCAGAATGACTTGCTCAAGTTCTCAATAGTAATAAACATCAGAGCTGGAACTCAAACCCAAACTTTCAGACCCTCAAATTAATGCTATCTCCATTATCACCCACTTGTTTCTATCATATTATGTAAGTTGTTTAAACAAATAATCATAGAATGTTTATGTGCTACATGGAAGTAAATTGTTTCTTTGAAGATAAGTTGATCCCAAAGGCTTATAGATCACAGGGACCTAGGAAGTTCATCTCCGACATCTAACAGCCTGGATGGGTGTACAAACACCTCATGATCACAGGATCACGTCCTTGGAACAATCGTACTTGGACCCATAGTAGRCATCTGTCACTTTATGGGGGCTTAATAACTTGGGAACAAATACTGAATGAAACTCCTACAAAAATCTCCCAATTCAAATATAATGGTAATGAGAACTCAGCAGGTTAGATATGACAGAGTCTTTGCTCTGTATTGGAATACTGCTTCCATCAACTTACTCGTCTATCTTGAACTTCATTACTCCACCAAGTAAAGATAATGACACCTATTTCACAGGATTATTGTCGAGGATTAAATGAGATAAAATATGTAAAACGTTAGCATTTTGCTTAGCAGGTAAGTAAACTCCCTAAGACTCAGTGGCTATGTTATGTAGGAGAAACCAACAGAAGTCGAGTGGGTTGTACTGACAGGCAGTCTTTGACAGGTGGTCACAAATTTTGAAAAGTTCTCTGGCATTTAACCAGAATATACTTAAGCTTCTAACTATCACCCAATAACAACGAGTACGAAACAATTAACCTTAACACTTTTGGGGGGAAAGGGGGTACCGGG